GTATTAGGATTACTTTTTGCTATAATGGACATCCAAGGGAGAGTGTTATAAACCCAATTAGTGGATGCCCATTAGAAGCCCATAATCTAGAAGGTTCTATCTTGTTCTCCAAGTTAAGCTTCCTCTCCAAGTTATTACTCCTCCCCAAATAATTGTATCATATATATACCTTTGCTCTCTATTGGAATAAGACACACAATTCTCTCCATTCTCTTCTTCTCTCATTCATAACAGTTTTTTGTTTTCTCTAGGCATCGTAATATTTTATTAATCTGAGGACATCACAGTTGCAAAGTAAAGTTAATTTATTGGTAAGCTAGAAAGGACCTCGATCGCTAGAAACTCGCATAATTTCTTGTTAAATAACTTTATAATAATTTATTAATTTAGTTAAATTTTAAATTATTGAAAACAATATTTAACCAATCAAACAACAACAAATGGCAAATGAATTTTTCTAACACATAAGAATCAATTTTCGAATGAGAAACCCACTTTCATTCGCTTTCCACCTTTTTAATATTCTCTATTTGTTAACCGATAAAAAACTCCCTAAAAGATTTGCAATGAGCAACATTTTGTGGGTTCAAATCTCCAAGTTAACCAATTTATAAATTTTAACAATATTTGCTATTCGTAAAAAAAGAAAACTATTTTTCTTCATGCAATCAACCATTATGGAAAAGTTCTCAACTGGTTCATGATAAAATTAAAAAATGGATCCAGATTGAATTAAAATCTTTGTTTCACAATACCTTTTTAGTTACAATCGTGAATATCTTTTGTATACATTAGGTTATAGGGTTGTATGGGCCATTGCCTCGTCATGTATATTTATAGATGAGAAGAAGACCGAATTTGACCTAACGCCTGAGAAGCATGGCGTTAGGCATTAAGTTAGATTATAAATTCTAGACAGATCAATGTTTTTTCGAAAATGTTTTGTAATTTATCAGTAGAATATAGATATAGCAATTTTTTGGTGATGTTTTCTGTAAAGTTTAACGGATAAATAATATTGTATTTTGGTGTTATTTAATATAGAATAAGGCTACATGTATTAATACAAAGCTAATTAACCCTAGTTTATTATGAAGTTTTATATCAATAGTCCAATAATACACTCTGGC